TTCAACTTGGTTATTGTTATAGTAAAGGAATTGGAATTGAAATGAATAAGGCAAAAGCATTTGAACTATATAAAATTGCTGCCAAGGAAGGAAATCGTAAAGCACAAAATAGTCTTGGAGTATTATATGAGAATGGTAAAGGTATCGAAAAGGATTTAGAACAAGCAATTTATTGGTATAACAAAGCAGCAGATGAAGATGATGAGATTGCGCAATATAATTTAGGAAATTGTTATCAATTTGGCAAAGGCGTTAACAAGGACGAAACAAAAGCATTTGAATTGTATCAAAAATCAGCCAAGAAGGAATATAGTTATGCTCAATGTAACCTTGGTTATTTATATGAAAATGGTGAATGCGTAGAAAAGGATTTGAAAAAGGCCATCTACTGGTATAATAAAGCAGCGGAAAATGGGAATAAAATTGCATGTTATAATTTAGGAAACTGTTATCAATTTGGAAAAGGAGTGGATAAAAATGAAATCAAGGCATTTGAAATATATGAAAAGTTAGCCGAAAGAGGATATAGTGAAGGACAAAATAGTCTTGGAATATTATATGAAAATGGTGAAGGTACTAAAAAGAATTTAGAAAAAGCCGTTTACTGGTATAATAAGGCAGCAGAAAATGGAGATGAAGTTGCACAATATAATCTTGGTCAGTGTTATCAATTAGGAAAAGGTATTAAGAAAGATGAGAACAAAGCGTTTAAGTTATATAAAATATTGGCTGAAAAGAAATATAGTTATGCTCAATGTAACCTTGGAGTGCTATATGAAAATGGTGAAGGGACCGAAAAGGATTTAGAAAAAGCTATTTACTGGTATAACAAAGCAGCAGAGAGTGGTGATGAATTTGCACAATATAATTTAGGAAATTGTTATCAATTTGGCAAAGGCGTAATCAAGGATGAAACAAAAGCATTTGAATTATATAAAAAATCAGCAGAAAAAGAATATAATTATGCTCAATGTAAACTTGGAATATTATATGAACATGGAGAAGGCACAGAAAAGGATTTGGATAAAGCCATTTATTGGTATAGTAAAGCGGCAAAAAATGGGAAATGAAATTGCGCAATAAAATTTGGAGAATTATAAATTAGATAAAATTTGATTTTTATCGCTGATAAAACATATAGACGTTGCGCTTATTTTATTTGTGAAAAACTTTATGATTTAAAAGTAAAAGTTGTATCGAAAGGTTAAAAGATATTTTGAATTGCCGAGATTTAGATGATCCTTCAAAAATTCATTTCTCGAGAAAGCTTCATTCCAAATCCGGAAAATCTTATTAGTTTAGCAATTATAATTTAGAAGTGCAACTAGCATCTTAAACATGTTTATTTATACAATTATCATATATTATTCACTCTTTCTCGTTATTTATAAAGTGATATTAACATATATCTTTATTTATCGTAAACCATAACACATTTCAATTAAATTATAAAACAGAGAAAACAAAAATTTATAAATAATAATTTGAATAGTAAATGACTGAAAGCTTTTGAAATGTAACCACTAATACCTTTTAATTCAGAAGATCACTTCTTTTTACTTTCAAAAAAAAAAAAAATAATAAATAAATAAAAAGATCGACATTTCCTTCGTGTTTTTTTATTTTTAATTTTTTTTCATGCTCAAAAGAAAAAAAAATAAAGTGTGCATTCCGAAAAAAAAAAAGGACAGTTCAATGGGATTGCTCTGTATTTTAAATTTGAATAGGTATATTAAAGTATTCTTCAGATAAAGCTTTTCATTAATAAAAAAAACCAGAATGATTGTGTAAATCAATTATATAAAAGGAAAATCTTAATTAGTACTACTACTTATTTTCCATTTGTTTATTATTATTTTTTATGCGCGATGACTTATACATATAATTTAACTTTTGATTGGGTAAATGTACAACTATAATGTAACCCTGTTTCGGTTTTATATAAATGGGCGCCAATTTTTTTAATTTTTTAAAAATTCAAAAAAAATTTCATTTCTTTTTGAATTCTATCAAAAAAAAAACTTTTACGATCCTAATAATGGTTTATTTATTCGATGTCCCAGCATTTTTTATAATATTTCGGGAAACTTTAGAATGTACACTAATCCTTTCAGTATTATTTGGGTATATTGATAAAGTAATTCCAATGGAAAATGATGAATTAAAGAAATTGCTCAGGAAGCAAATATGGGTTGGAATCGGTACAGGAATAGTAATATCGATAATGATTGGCACAATATTTATTGGTGTATTTTATTCGGTATCTCAAAATTTATGGTTACAAACTGAAGAAATTTGGGGTATATGTGTATATATTTATTTATTTATTTTAGGTATATTTAGCCCTTTAAAAATTTAATTAACATGTTGAATTATAAAAACAGGAGCAATATTTACCTTATTGGCATCAATTCTAATTACGATAATGTCGTGGACTATGATAAGAATAAATCATTGGAAAGATAGGATGGAAAAAAGATTTAGATATGCTGCAAGAGTTTATTTTGAAAGGCATAATAGGGAAAATTATTTGGGTTTATCTTTATTAGCATTTACCGTTGTCAGTCGGGAAGCTTTAGAAGCTTTTATTTTTGTTGCGGGGGTAAATATCCTCATTCTTCACGATCTTTAAAATTAATAATTCATTAAATCCTTTTCATCATCATCTTCTTCTTAGATCGGATTTCATGAACCACCTTCGGGACTTCCAATACCAGCGGTACTTGGATTAATATTGGGTATATTCTTGGGTTATTTAGTTTATAGAGGATCAAATCGTATATCATTAAAATTATTTTTCATGTTATCTTGTACATTATTATTTTTCATTGGTGCCGGATTTTTTTCGAATTCTATTTATCAATTTCAAACTTCTTTAAATTCTAGAGAGATCATTTTATGGAAATTAAATTGTTGTGATCCAAATGATAATGTTGGTTGGAACATTGCTAAATCTTTATTTGGTTGGCAAAATAAAGCTACTTTAGGTGGCTTTGTTAGCTATATTATATACTGGGTTATTGTAATTGCTGGTATACTTATAATTAATTATTATTATAATTATAAATCTAATTTAGAACATAATGAAAGTAATCAAGATCAAAATGAAATGAATAATCAAGAACAACAAAATCATAATAATCATCATATAGAAATAACAGAAATGGTTAATTAAATCTAAAATATATTTGTATTACTTGTAATATACATTATATAAAAGAAAGTATATATAGATTGCTAATACATCAATAAATTGTTTTTATATCAATTGTAATTATCATATCCATATTAAATTATTATTTAATAATTACTAACATCTAAAAAAGCTTTTTTTAATTTAAACATTTAAATTTATTATTTTAAGATTTATGTATATTAATAAGAATCAATTTTTTAATACATTAATAACTTTTTTAAAACTGACTGTTATTCCAAAGATAAATAATATTATATAAATTCTTATTTTATAAAAAATGCAAATAAAATGTTTAATAAAGTAGATAAAGGCATTATTTAATTTTTACTCTACAGTCAACTCTTGATATAGCGAACTCTTGATATAATGAATTTTTTGAATAAATATTATAAAAATACTCTTGTTATAGTGAATTGGCCAATCAAATCTCTTAAAATCTTCACTATAGCCTTATAACGAAGTTAAGGTCTAGGACATAGAGTTCATTATAATAAGAGTTGACTATATTCATTTATCTTTTTTAGTATTTAAATTCTAATTAGTACATCTCAGTTTGAATTACTTCTAAATTTATTAAAAATTATTTTTATTATAGTTCCTAACGAAAAGAATAGTAGTGCAATCTTTTAATATATAATTAACTTTTTTTTATAAATAATTACATAGTATTTTAT